CTTCCTCAATTATTCTTTTGAAAATTGGTATGAATAAAAAAAAAAACTTTTTTCGAAAGTTGGAACAAGAATTAAAATACCTCTTCCTCGCCACAGTTACTGGACAGTATTTGGAATTCATATTCGGTATATAATGAAAATATCTGTTGTAACTCTTGAAATTACAAAAATATGTTAAGTGTGCGAGTATCATTTTCTAAAAGTTTTTTTATCTGCCTGAAATTAATGTTACTGGATTCTTTTTCCGCAAAATTATATGAACTAAATTCTGCAATTGACAAAGAGTATACCGCGTTAAGAGATGTCATGCAAAATCAAACGTCTGTCAGACAGAAAAACTCTCTGCTTGAAATTTTTTTTCGGATGGTCTAAGATTTGACAAATTCTGCTTTGTCATTGAGAGCACAGAATTGAAAACTGTAAAATAACACAAAAACATCAGATGATGTTTTTTATCTTTCAAATTAGAGTCAAAGGAAAATATGAAATTACGTTAAAGCTCGTTGAATTACGGATTTTTATGAAAAACTTTTTCATAATGAAACTAGCTTGCTTATGAACAAAACACACAAAAATTTTTCATTATACTTGAACTGAGAAACATATAATTGAATCTAATATAATAAAATTAGCCAATTTTTGCAGTTGGTAATTAAAATGAATTCTACTGTAGAAAAAAAACAAAAGGTAGAACTTTAATATCAATTTCAATTCGGGTGGTTTCAGTTTTTTCTTTTTCTTTTCCACGAAAAATCAAGTACCACAAGTAATAATAGGAAAGGGTCGCGTGAATGATCATATTAGAGCCCTTTCAGTCGTGATTCCAACGACATTAACAGATTTCCCGAAATTTTCAGAAGTTGTCCCAGTATCGAGAAAAAACGGATTTTGGAAAATTCAAAAAAATTCCGCTAAAATTTTTTCAAAAAATGTTTGTATTTTTTTTTAGAAATTTATTGTTTTGTAGTAAGTTTTTCACTCGATCACTGAATCCGTTTGCAATTAAAAAATTTTTGGTCTGAATAGGCCAAAATTCACATATAGTTCAGGCCTAAATTCGAAAAAATTTCTTTTAAAATTGGTATAATAACATGTCCATTTGAGATTGAAATCCAACCTGACAAAAAGTATTTTTAGCAACGATTTTGTAGATTATTCTCAAAAAACTCCAATTTAAGCCATGAAAACTTAGTTTTAGTCAAGTAAAGTTGTTTTTGGATGGATTTTTTTAGCGCCCTTTTCAAATTAAAAATTTCAAAAAATTTCTGCTAAAATTTTTTCAAAAAATGTTTGTATTTTTTAGAAATTTATTGTTTTGTAGTAAGTTTTTCAATTACTTTATTTGCTCGATTTTTAGTCTAAATAGAGCAAATAATGATCGCTAGCAGGCATAAAATAGCCTATTCTTGCTCCAATTTAAGCCATGAAAACTTAGTTTTAGTCAAGTAAGGTTGTTTTTGGATGTTTTAGCGCCCTTTTCAAATTAAAAATTTCAAAAATTCAAAAAATTTCTGCTAAAATTTTTTCAAAAAATGTTTGTATGTTTTAAAAATTTATCGTTTTGTAGTAAATTTTCTACAATTTTTGCCAAATTTAATATGACTGTCGAATAATCTTAAGTTCCAAATATTTGTTCAGATCCTTTTATCACACCACGCAGAAAATAACAACACTAATTTGAAAAAAAAACTTTGAAATGTTTTTACTATGGTCGGAACATTCTGTGCTACTTGCACAGTAACCGGCTATCCTTTTTGCAAGTTGAAATAGTTCGTATGTTTCTGTTTACAGCATAAGACCCAAAAACTGGCACGGAAAAAAAAACATTTTTTTTTTGTTCTGATGACAAGTTTAAAAAACAAAACGAAATTCTAAAACCTAACTCAGCATTTTTTTCGCATAAGCAATTTTGTTTAAGAAATCAAACAAGTGAAAAAGTCTAACTTGAGCATGAAAAACTTTTCACGTTTTCCTGAAGATCAAAAAAACATAACAAAAACCTTATGAACTAAAAAAATTTCCTCACATTATTCCTTGGCATTCAAATAAACCCTATTTCGTTTATGCAATAAGTTTACTAGAAATACATTTGTTAAATTTTTTGAACAAGGCAAGTTTTCAGCCCGTATCAAGCTGCTGCGATTTAAAGATTTTAAAGCGTAAATACACTTATTTCCCCAAAAACCTTTAGTCATGGCAAAAACTTATTGTATTATTATCCAGCCCACTTGTGATTTGCGAACGCGGTCATTATAAACCATTACGAGGCCAAACTGTGCATTCTGTGCATTGTAAACGGATTCCGCAACAGGCCAAAATGAGATTTGTCGCGGAATCCGCAGCATTTCTACTTTTCATTGATCTTCTTTGCTGTTTTGGATTCCACAAACAAATACTTAAAACATTGTACCGCTCAAAATTGCTCCAAAAACAGGCAAATTTACGGAATCCGCAACTGTCTTTGCGGAATCCAGAGCAGTTTGTGGAATCCACAAACAAATAATAAGTCATGTGTATAGTTACATTGAGCTGTTGCGGAATCCGCAAACTGTAAGTGGACTCCGCAAATTGTAAGTGAAATTCGCAAGTTGTAAATGGAATCCGCATTTTGTTTGCGGATGCCATTATATTTGCGGATTCTACGTACATTTTGCGGATTCCACTTACATTTTGCGGATTCCAATTACATTTTGCGATATTCACTTACAGTTGCGGAATCTAGAACAAATAGCTATATTTGCTTGTTGCGGAATCCGCAACAAAACAATTGTGCCGACAAAATTTACGTTACAGCTATTTGTACGCGGAATCCACGAAACTTTTGTAGGTTGGATCCACTCACTTTTTGTATCATGTTTAAAGTTTTGTCTCTGGAATCCAGGAACATACAGACAGAAAATTGTGTGCCTATCCAGTGCACAGTTTGGCCTCGAAACGAAGCGATGCATAGGACAAGATATGCGTGCATGTCTATCCAACTTCAAAACTCTCCGAACAATTTTATATCGAACTGTCTTTCCAAACTAAAATTGAAGGCCAGCTATTTGACAAGCTTCATTTTTAAGGTTATTCCACTAACACTTCGTTCACTAACACTTAAAATTTAGTTCGGAAGAGATATTTGAAATACTATTCTTGAGGTGATGAAAAAACCACGCCACTCAAGTAAATAAAATTCATTTCGTTGATGAACAAAAAAATGAACACAAAAATCAAGCAAATCAATAACTTATTCAATTTTACTTTCTACAACTGTTCTCGTGTCGGCAAAGAGATCTTGTTTCTACACTTTTAATTAATTGTCCAAAGTGAACTAGCATGATTAGATAGAACCAAGAAATTCTGGATCTCAGATAACGCTATTATCTTGGATAGCTCAAAAATAAAAATAACTTCTTGAATAAAACCTTGAATAATGATTTTTTGATTCGAATATCATGTGACAATGCAAAAAATTATTTCTCGGTAATCACAACACGAACAAAACGGCAAGCGTCGTTTCTAATGTCAACGTTTCAAAAAGTTTCTCGGCATCCAATCAAGTTTCTTCTGGTAATGACATCATCTCTATCTGTGTTCGTAGTTTCCAATTCGATTCGTAGCTAGCGCCGTCAAGTCTCGAAATGCGCAAACGGCTAGGCTGATTATGGTTTTATAAACCTATCTGCGCAACCCCTCAAAACTGAAAAATGAAATGACAAAAATACGCAAAACTCCATTTTTGCACAAAAATTATCGTTCAAAATGTTTTCAAACCATTCGTGAAAATCATGTATACCACACCTGAAGTTTTGTCGTGCTGCTGTCGCCCCAGATCTCAAAAGTCAGCCTCATTTTGATGGTTCAAGGTAACTTATGAGTTAAGGTACCTTAATTAAAATCCCTGAAGAAACAAAAACATCACTTGAATCAAGTGATTGGGTCACAAAACACCCCAAGATTTTATTCGAAACGTAAACAGATCGCTTAGAGATCTGTATCAAATTATACTAAACCTGTCTTTTCATTACCTTTACCTTTTTGCGCCCGGCTAAAAGTTGCGACCCCACGCCCAGATAAAACTCGCCTGTCAAAAAGAAAAAACCCAAAACTTGATCAAAAGTCTTTTTGACGCAAAAGATGGTCCAAAATGTCACCTGTCGGCTAAATCGAGCAATGTTTCATGATTCTTGAACTCAGTTTTTGCCTCAGCGGTCTCAGATATAACTTGCGAAAAAAATTCTCTTATTTCTGCTTTCAAGGCAATTATCTCTCTCTCTCTCTCTCTCTCACTCTCTCTCGTCTCTCCATAAAATTTCCAAAACATGATATAACTCAGACCACTTCGATTATCAAGCCAACAGACAGTTGTAGTTAGCCAACAAAATTTAACGGAGGACAACAAAAGTGTTACTGAACTAGCGCAAATTATATAAAAAAAACTGTTTTCCACCTCTTTTCTAGTTCTTTCTTTTCCAACTCTAACTCCAACCGTTTTCCCGTACTCCAACCCCCTCCCCTCGCACACATTTCTTCATAACTTTACGTCCGTCGTAAAATGACGCATTTAGAAATAAGCATGCCTTGGTTAACATGAAAATGGGAAATTTGCAATGTGGGAGACAAAAAACAAGCCTAAAAATAAGAAGCCTAAAAAAAACAACTGATTATATGTGGAAAAAAAATCGAATTTCCAAAATTTATATAATCGTATATTCCGAAAAAAATCTAATAGACAGATTTTGAAACAACTCAGTTCATTTTGGAATAATTTCAAACAAGACGCTAAAAAGAAAAATGGAGGTAAAATTTATTCTGCAGAATAACTAATCGACCTAATTGAGTACCTTCGCTACGTTCAGTAACACTTAAAGTCGGCTAAAAACCAAATCTGCACAACTCGATTTACATAATGCGAACATGAAACATTGCAACACTCCTCCAACTCCTCGCTAGCCAGACTTACATCAAATCAAAAGGACCAAATTATTCTGAATCATAATATTCACGCTGGCACTTACCTGAAGGGTCCACGGTATCCTGCCTGCCCGTGGTGACTTCCGCCTCCTGAGGCACTGGCGCCGCCGCCGCCAAGGGACGATCGGTGTCCTCCGCCGTTGCTCATATACCCACGACTACCGCCACTATTTCCACTATGGTGACCGGCGTTTCCATGACTACCGTACCTGTTCGAGCCACGCTGACTTCCTGATCCTCCTCCTCCTCCAGAATTCCGCCCGTTACTTCCAGTAGAGTCTCGGCCATATCTATGATTACTGGACCTCGAACTTCCCGAGAATACGGGTCCGGAGCTGGATCCCGATCCGGAAATGTTGATACGACTATGGACGTTGCTGCCATTCCCGCTGGAGAAGTTGCCAGCATTAGAGGAACCACCGGAGTTAGAGTTTCCGCTGCTTCCAATGTTCACGTGACTAACATTCAGCAGATTTGAGCCGCTGCTAGCTACATTGGATTCACGTTCAGATTTATCCTTCAATGCCTGCATTTCTTCAAGCTCTAAACAGCAAAGTATTTACTTTTCAATTTGGTTTCACAATGTTAAGACGTTTTTTTTTCTATAACTTAGGCATATTGGACAGTCATATCAAAATAGGCAAATTTGAAAACAACTTCTGTAGAAAAATGAATAGAAAACAAAAAAATCTTGATAAAGCCAAAAAAAATTCAAAATTCTTTTCTTAAACACACCTGAATACAAAGTTCCAACCCATTTTCAATGGTCGGAATAATAATAAAAGTATATTCTTAATGGCTCGGAATTCGGCATATTCATGAACAAGTCAACCAACTTTATGTCTAAAACAACATGGAAACTATTTTTCTGTTGACATTCACATTCTTTTTGAATTACTTTCAGAACCGTGTTCGGATATATTAGAACACCATGTTTCCACCAAAACTATCTATTGGTTGTTCTTCTCTCAGAATGTAAAGTTTCCAAAGCTGTGAAAAAATTAAAACTTCAAGTTTCACAGAAAAAATTAAGATTTAACTGTACAAAAATCAGGCCTTCAAGAAGCAAGCTACAGAGTCTACTGGATTCGAACCAGCATCCTCCAATTTCAGTTGCAAAAACATTATTAATACACCACAGCGGCCAATCTACTAAATCTTTCACCCGAGTGTGAAAAGAAGGCATTAATTAGCTGTCGTAGATCATGTTGAATCAGTAAACTTCGCAATTGGGCCACTTTGGTTGGAAACATGCGACCTCGCAAAACCACATTAGCTGCGCTAGCTCTGCTTGTGCAATCGCTGCAGCTACCAGAGCCAGCTTTTTATCGGGTAAATCTGAGCTCATTTTAACATTAAGGAAATTTTTTTCTAATTTGGTTGGCACTAAGCGGCCTCGTAAAATACGCTAATTCTGCATGTGTAATCGCTGCAGCTGCCAGACCGAATTTAAACAGCTTAAGAACCTTAGGAGTTTTTGAAGATAGTGCTTGTAATCTTAACTTTCTTTGAAAGCTAGAAAACTTTTTAAATTTTTAGTTTTATTTCCTTTTTTATTTTTGAGTCGGTTAAATCTGATCTCAATTAAAGATTTAGGAGGCATTTGCATATTTTTTTTCTGGATACGCAAAATTTGCTGCTAAAAACTGTCCGTGCTTTCTCCATTTTGCTTCTGACGTGAAAATTTTGTTTCAGATAACAGGTAGATTTCAGGCCGAACTTAGAACTATAGCAGAAAATTGGAGATCATTATATATAACAACCAAAAAGATTTTTCGGCCAAAAGCTTCCAAAAAATGCGAACAGATGTCCCTTTTAGCCTGTTTTTTTTTCAAAAGGTTTCTGTGAAAAACGTTTCTTGGAAAATATATTTGCTCGAAATAGAGAAAAGATAGACAAATAATTTGAAATTACCCCCCCCCCTAAAAACCTCCTGCACATGCCACTGCTAAGACCCAATATCTGCCAAAAGAAAATTTTGAAAAACTAAACAAAATGAAGCTGCCTGAATATAAATCCCTGCTCTTTTCAAGTTTCCGAGCTGACTGACCTTTTCTCTGCTGGACAAGTTCGGCCCTGACCTGAGCCAGATCGGGGTCCAGAGTGGCGACCACTCTCTCTATGTACTGGTCCAACACCAGACTCCTAACCTCCCTTGTCACTGTGGCTCTGCAGATGGGACACTGACTATGGCTGTATGGCTTCCGCTTCCAGCTGTCGATGCAGAACTCACAGAACGAGTGTGCACACCCCAGAGTCACAGCCTAAACAGACGAACAAGCGTTTTTCATAATAATAATAATTTGTTCGCAAAAAATATCATCCATTAGAGAGCACATTTTTAGACTAAAAGTTTATTGGATCTCTTTAACTATTCCCCCATTTGGTACCTAGTAACGAATTGCCACCCATGTAATGAAATAATTCAATGGTTATGCATATGCCCCAGTTTGAGAGATCCAATCTATTTACGAGAACTACCCTAAAGTTTGCAGCACATTTTTAGGCGCCTCTCTCGTTTATATGAAGCATTTTTTTCTCAAAAGCAATTTAATAAGCAATCTTTTCAATACTTTTATCTTAATGCCGACTATAAACTTTGGTGGAGTATCCTTGAAATTAATGCGTTAAACTCAATTTCAGTGCTCAAAGCGATGCTAAAAATTTCTCCGAAAAACTCTCAAAATTCAAAAGTATTGACTTCTAGGTTTCGATAAAACGGTTCAACGTTCGAAGAAAAAAATCAGATTAACTCAAAATGATAATTACGTCTAAACCATAAAAAGAGGTCATGCACGTAAATTTATCTCATTTCTAGTTGAATTCTCATTAGCTCGGTTAAATTATGGTGAAGAAAAAGGACGAGGAAATTGCTTTGATCCTGAAAAATAACTGGAGCAGCAAACACACTTGTTTTCAAACATGAGAGTCCAATAAGACACTATGCTTGTAGTTCAACATTTGACCCCGAATTCCAATGGCATTGAAATTTTGTTGGGCTGTCAACATGATATGTACACGGAGTCAATGATGAGTCCTAGCTTTTCTAAACTTAATCAACAATTCAAACAATCAACTCATTTCCGCAGAAATGCGTTGTAACCGCAGATGAATGCTATGATTATGGTATCATTGCCGAAATAGACTAACTGGACTCTTTTCTTTCTGATTTTCTACCATTCCAGAAGTTTTTTCCTTCAAAATGAACTCAACCTTCAGTACCACAAACGATGATATTCTTTTTACGAGACTACAGTAAGTTTATGAATTTATAACATCACATTTGGTCAAACTACAAGACCATACGTCAAAACAAACCCTGTTTTACTGTATTTTACTGTACTTATTTTTTTCATCCAAAAAAATCAACTCTTTTCAGTAAACTCATAATTACTGCTTAAAATGGACTCAATCTAAATACTACCTATACGATAGCAGTATTTTGAATTTTCAAGAAATTGAGAATGTCAGCAGCCTAAATTTGAAATTAATTACACGTAATTCTGAGAATTTTTTTTAAATTTTCGTATTCTTTTTTCATCGTACCTTTCAAAAAGATCAAATCTTCAACCGTTTATCCCTTTTCAAGATATTAACTTTCAAAGCACAATAACTACTTAATAGCTATTTTTGTTGTAAAAATGGACAAAGAAGTCCACTAAACAAAGAAAATTCTTTGCCAAATTGGTGTAAATAGGCAAAAAAGCAAAACCGTTTTTCTATCAATCTGAAATTTCAAAATTCACTTTTGAAATTACAAGTTGATGTTGGAGTGAGCATGAACAACTTTTAAGAGCTTTTTACTCAACAAAAAGAACGCAGATAAATGTGAAAACGTACTGACTTATTTTTTTGAATAAATCGTAATCTTCTTTTTTGAACTTTCGTGTTCTTCTTTTATCATCGTATCCATCAGAAAGATCAAATCTTCAACCGTTTATCCCTTTCAAGATATTAACTTTCGAAGCACAAAAACTACTTAATAGCTATTTTTGTCGTTAAAATGGACAAAGAGTTCCACTTAACAATGAAAATTTTTTGCTAAATTGGTGTAAATAGGCAAAAAAGCAAAACCGTTTATCAATCAATCTGAAATTTTAAAATTCTCTTTTGAAATTACAAGTCGATGTTCGAGTGAGCATGAACAATTTTTATGACCTTTTCCCTGAACAAAGGACAAGCAACGAACGCAAGTAAATGTGAAAACAAATTGATTTATTTTTTTGAATAAATCGTGTTCTTCTTTTTTGAATTTTAGTGTTCTTCTTTTTTCATCGTATCTTTCAGAAAGATCAAATCTTCAACCGTTTATCCCTTTCAAGGTATTAACTTTCGAAGCTCAATAACTACTCAATAGCTAGTTTTGTTGTAAAAATGGACAAGGAGTTCTACTTAACAATGAACATTCTTTCCTAAATTGGTGTAATTAGGCAAAAAAGCAAAACAATTTATCTATCAATCTGAAATTTTAAAACTCACTTTTAAGATTACAAGTCGAAGTTCGAGTGAGCACGAATAATTTTTAAGACCTTCTTCCTGAAAAAAAAAACAACGAACGCAAATAAATGTGAAAATATATTGACTTAATTTTTTCTAAAATCTTCGAAGAAAAGAAGAAAAGCTTTCAAATTTCGAAGAAAAGACAGATGGCTTTAAAACTCTTTGAAATTCTAGAACCAGTCAAGGTTGCCAGAGTGGATTAACAGGTAAAGTTTTTATTTCGCTGGGAAATCTGATAATTAAATTGCTTTTTCGAAATTTAAAGTAGATCACGTTTTTCGCGACCTTCACGCTTTCGCTGATCTTTAGTTGCGTTTTCCTTCCTTTTAACAAAAGAAACGAGCTGAAATTCAAAAAAAATCAAGCCAAACCGCAAAAAAATACATTTGAGTATTAACAAAATTTAAAGACTTTTCCTAAAACGAACTCTCGCGACCTATATAAAAGCCTGAACTATGTTCATCGATTCTTCAGAAGAATAACAGTCTTCATTAGTTTAATTGACACTTAACAAGGCACGACCGGGACTCAAACCACAGACTTAAGGGACCGAAGGCACGCGTTCTAGCACTACTCCACTTCTGAGTACTTTCATTATTTAGAATTACAAGAATCACAACAACAGTGGCTAGCTATGCTGATGTCTCTGGTCAGGATCAGGATCAGGCTCTGGATTTGTTCAGGGCCAAGTGGAGAAGTGTGTTCATGTGTGTGGCTCTAGCATCTCTACTTGGCAATTGGTGTGTGTTGTTGAGTAATCACTTTGTGCTGGATGCGACCACTCGCTACAGGATGACCACATCTCTCATATGCATATGCGACTCAGTCGTCAAAATCAGGCAGGGCCACTTTTATTTACATGTTTAGTTATGGTCTAGCGCACAAAACAAAAGATATCCTTGGCAAAAAAGCAAAAAATGGACCTAAAAGTTGAAAAAATTTTACCTCCAGGCGGACAGTATTTCCAATATCTTAGTCAAACATTAAGAGACCAGTGCACAAATTTGAATGAAAAATGACCTCTCAGAACTTGTATTAGACATGCATAAAAAAGCGGCTTATTCGGTAGAAATACTCAATTACTTCAAATTTTCCTCTTTCTTTTCAATGGGTATCAATTTTGAGCTCCGATTCTTAACTGACTTTGAATCCTACGTGTTTTAGCTACCTGTGGGGCTTGTGCATTGTCTACTTCTGGAACTTGGGAGATCCTATCTACTACGAACAGTACGATAAGGAACCACAGGCTTGTATAATCCAGGCCTTCCTCCTTGACTACTTCTACCTGTGCTGCATGTTACACATGGCAACACTCACTGTTCTCATGACTGCAAAGACTCTGGCACTCACCAAATATGAGCCACTTCTTAGAAAGACACTACATGTACTGCCCTGGCTCATTGCCACCAGCGTGAGTGAGTGAATTGGAAGCGGATTCCGCAACAAGGACGCTCTCTTTGTTCTTTCGTAATCTTTGATCTTTCCGACAAAATTTTCAAATGTTTAAACAGGATGTTTGGATTCCAGAGACCTACACACACCAAATTGCGCGCCTTTACAGTGCACAGTTTGGCCTCGTATTGCGAGCTTTGACCGCAGAAAAATCCCAGAACTGGTATAATACTGAAAAACTCACGCGCCATGACAGCCTTGCTTTTCAAACATCAAATTTAAGAAACTGCCAATCAATAACTTTACACAACTCCGAAGCTGCGATTCGTTTCAATACGCTATAAATTGGTTATCAACAAACAATTGGAAAAAAGTCAATGGACGCAAAAAAAATCCGAATTGTTTTTTTCTAATTTTGAATTTCAAAAAACAATATATGCTCTTAAAAACGAAAAACTTCACAAGAAATCAAAACTCAAACCACGAAATACCAAAATTTCAACTTTTTCCCGAAAAAAAAAACGAAAAATTATCGCGACCTATACAAGTGTCAAAACGAGTTCAGACTGCTTCACAAGAAATCAAAACTCAAACCACGAAATACCAAAATTTCAACTTTTTCCCGAAAAAAAAACGAAAAATTATCGCGACCTATACAAGTGTCAAAACGAGTTCAGACTGCTTCACAAGAAATCAAAACTCAAACCACGAAATACCAAAATTTCAACTTTTTCCCGAAAAAAAAACGAAAAATTATCGCGACCTATACAAGTGTCAAAACGAGTTCAGACTGCTCAACCGACTTTCGAAATTGTAAATTAGACGAAAGTGAAAGATAAACGGGTTACAAACACCACAAGCATACAATTTCACAGCAAGAAATTCGCCATTATTTAAGAATCACCATACTTTTCGAAAAGCTGTGGCTGGGAGTCAAACTGCATTTACATTGACGCGAAGCTGTGCTTCATAAAAGAAACAAGACTGCTCGTATCAGGGCGAAGCCCTGAAAGTTCCGACTGCCTATTAACGTTTATGGAGCAGTAATAACATAAACAACATAAAAAAATTGATTGAAATAAAATAAAATGAAAAACGTGTTTTCTAAAATTTGAAAATTTTTCAATGAAAATCATCCCTCCACAAGCCATATAAAGTACAAAACAATAGATTTCGCTCCTTGTAACAAATCAATTATGGCAAATAAGCTTCTTTCAACCAATTTGGAATGATTTCTAACGGATTAAATCTCCGCTTATTACGCGTTAATAGCGCGAATTATATCGCGCGTTAACTGTCCCAAATTGGTCGAAATGGCCAAAATGGCACTCTTTAAACCTTCATAACTTTACAAAAAATGGTCACAGGTGAA